CACGTAACAGTAACAGTAACACGTAACAGCNGATATATTTGAGTTTTGTGCCTACAACAAGAGCAGGGCGTCCTCTGGCTTCACCCCATACTGGATCCATACCTTCGCCTTCGGAGTCGTTTGGATCAGAACTCTGTCCTTCATCTCTAGATGCACGTTGTCAGCTAGCCTTAAGAGGTTTGGAATCGTTCCCTTCAGTCATACTAGTTGCGCTGTCGTTATATTTAACGAGGTTAACCCCGTTAAACCAACCAGCGCCGTCAAATGAAGGCAAAGGTTCGCCCGGATCTTCATGCATCCGGCTGATCATTAGATTCAACAGCTCCCTCTCCACAGATTTCCACCTTTCGGTGGTCATCTGTCCATAAGGGCCACTATGGTCCAGCAACGCGACGGTCATGTATTGCTTGGCTACCTCTCTTAGTCATACGTGACCTGGGATAACCTCTTTACACTCGGCTTTCTCAGCTTGCCTGCTGCTCATCGCCATTGCTGCATTCGAAGTCTCGAAGTCGCTTTTGTCTAGCCTTGCGGTATTGCGCAGCGGTTTGTCGTTGCCTACGGAGTTTTTCTGGAGTTTGATAGCCGGCCTCTCGTTTTCCGCTGGGTGCTGCCATCAAATTTATTTCACAACCACGATCAAGGATCATTTCCGTATTACAAAGCTATTAAGGAGCCTTCAGCACACAACACCAGTGCCAAAATTGCACTCTTGTAAAAAATAATATTTCAATACATTTTTGTGAAATCCTTTGCGTGTAGGTACTTCTTTTTCTCAACTAAAATTTTCTAATTTATAAAGGCTATATTTAACTGGTTTATCTTATTTTATCATTGCACTTTTGTTTTGAAAACATGGTTCTTATTTTATTGCTAAATGGGAATGATTAAAAAGAATGGCAACATTTTGGCAATTAACTTCCAGAAGGTGCGGAATTCCGGGCGCTTCCTAATCTTATTATATTTCTTTCGAACCACGAAAAAGTATCGGTGAAGTGCAGAAGGAAAGCGTATTGAACGAAAAATTCAGTCAGACACATTTCAGAAAAAACAATCGAAAACGTATCCGTTACTGTTGTCTGTACATATGTACGTTTCTGCTGCACACTTTTGTGGGAAGACGGATTGTCAAAGTATCCGAAAATGGAATCAGTAAACTGACAAAAATCCGCACTTCATCCACTTTTTTGTCCTTTTTCGGATCGGTTTTCGGATTTTTTGCCGTCTGGGTAAGTAAAAGAACTCGTATTCTGGAGTATGTTCACTCGAAACAACTTTTGCTGCTTTAACTAGTAATTTGTACTCTCCTATAGCGACGAGAAAATCAGAGGAATAACGAGGTGTTCGTGCTCAGGTAATTCGCTCTNTAGTAATTTGTACTCTCCTATAGCGACGAGAAAATCAGAGGAATAACGAGTTGTTCGTGCTCAGGTAATTCGTTTTGTGCTCTGGCTCTTTTGAGAACAATATGCAGACAATACCAATTGCGAGCAATGGAGTGGTTACGTTGGAAGGAAACGGAGCAACATCAAAAGAAGATTCGCGAAATCGTGCTCAGATAGTTGATGCAATACAGTTTAAGTGTGTACTAGGGTATTCGATATTCGCCTTTTTCCAAAACCGGTTTTTGAATTATTCGAAAGATTCCAATTTGAAAAAAACCGGTTGCCGATTTTGAAATTTAGAAAAAACCGGATAAACCGGCTTTATTTGACATATATATTTTGTATATTGAAAATGCTTATCTTGGTATGAAATCCTGTCCAAAAAATACAATGAAACTATTAACAGTAAAGATAGCTTTTATTAAGAAAAGAGCAAAGCAAAATAAATACCATGTTTTTTTATATCAAAATTAAAACAAATAGGAATCCGCGAAAAACTCAGGTTAGGTCTTTTTTTAATACTTTATTGCATTCTGACTTTTTACGGGATTCTTGCCGCCGTAANCCATGTTTTTTTATATCAAAATTAAAACAAATAGGAATCCGCGAAAAACTGAGGTTAGGTCTTTTTTTAATACTTTATTGCATTCTGACTTTTTACGGGATTCTTGCCGCCGTAGCCCGGTTCAATTGCCCTAGTTCACTTTTTGATTCCAGTAACGTCAACAGAAGTTTTTTTTAAGCAGCTGTGGCCCTTCGTCAGACAATGGCAACCCACGAATGCGAAGAGAAGCTCGGCCAAACACGTAGAAAGCGTTTAAACGCCAAGCATTCGTTTATTGGAACCAAATATTGTTCATCCCCAAATAAGCTAGGATATAATTTGAAAATATTTAGAGGCTTCCTTTGAACTTAAAAACTTCGAAAAACCTAACAGTTTAATTAAGAGGCCAAGATTTGGATGGAATGAAAAAACCGGGTTTTTCGATCAAAACAACCATTTTATTTGAGATTCGAAAAATCAAGATTAAAAAAAACCGACTCAGTCACCCTAGTATGCACAATAAGGTGGAACAAAATAAGTTAAGTCGGAATACTAATCCACCATGTTCTATATCGAAATAAATATACCCCNGATGGAATGAAAAAACCGGGTTTTTCGATCAAAACAACCATTTTATTTGATATTCGAAAAATCAAGATTAAAAAAAACCGACTCAATCACCCTAGTATGCACAATAAGGTGGAACAAAATAAGTTAAGTCGGAATACTAATCCCCCATGTTCTATATCGAAATAAATATACCCTNAATCAAGATTAAAAAAAACCGACTCAATCACCCTAGTATGCACAATAAGGTGGAACAAAATAAGTTAAGTCGGAATACTAATCCACCATGTTCTATATCGAAATAAATATACCCTAATTTTTTATTTTAAAATCAAAAAATATTTAGAGGTCGCTCAAAACGCTCAAAATTTTTCAATAACATAAGTCTGGTTTTCTTCAGGAGACTTCCAACAACAATGCCCAATTGTTTGTTTAAACATTTTTTCAAGAATTCTTTACCATTCCTACGAAAAGTTTTTTCCACCTCTAAACATTTTTTAATTTCAATATAAATAAATAGGGGTATATTTTTTCGGCATAGAACAATTCTAGGGGGTGCGAGAAAAAAACCGACTTTACTTTTTCACATGCATTTTTGGACTACCCTAATGTACATACACATACAATGTAAAGGTATGCAGGTTTGCACCCTAGCGAAATTACTAAAGAAAGCTACAACCGGTTTTAAGTACGGCCGACTCCGCTCTCTTATCACTAGTATTGTTTTCATACTGGCCGGATATTCATGTTTTTGAGGTAGATAGATGAGAACCAATTCTCATATTTGCACTGCTGATCAGCTTTGCGACTTGTATCGCTGCCGCACATTGATGGAAGAGATAATTGCATGTACTACATACATATTTACGTATACATACATATTATAGTAAACAAATATGATTCTTGACTCATCTTAAAGCAGAGGTTCCCAAACTTTTTTTCTCGTAGACCGTTTTTAAAATTTTTTTGGGTTCGGTGGACAACAACATTTCTAACATATTTCCAAAGCTCATCAAAAAATGNTCTTAAAGCAGAGGTTCCCAAACTTTTTTTCTCGTAGACCGTTTTTAAAACTTTTATGGGTTCGGTGGACCCCCTGCTGCAACATTTCTAACATATTTCCAAAGCTCATCAAAAAATGTGAATATTAGATCTAGCGATGTAAATTAGCATCGCGGATGAGTTCCAAAACTAAATTTGGAGTGGCAAAAATAAAAATAAAATATCTTCTTGTGTTCTATTTAGTAAAAACACGTGATTACACAATTGCTAATTTAAAAAAAAAAACAGAGCTTATAAAGTCATCAAAGTACTCTTTCACTCTGAGGAGTTATATTTTTTAAGAGCACTCCGAGAGCTGGCGTTATTTACATTCTTCTCATAAAATAGTTTATTTGTGTTGATGGCGTTATTCTTAGTTTTATCACTCCGAATTTTAAAATGATGCGAAAAATATTTATCATACACATTTTTAAGCAGACACAAATTTTAAACAACAAACCGCAAATCTTCTTACGCCATAATTTTAATTCAGAAGCTGACAATAGAGAAAAGACCGAATGTAGAAAAATCGATGACAAACAACCAAGCAAGGAAGCCACGTGCAGTGACCTGTCAGCATTCCAACAAGTTGCCTGCAGTCCCATCTGCTCAGTGAGAGCAAAAAACTAAATAGAGCAGCATGAGTTTTGCCCATCTGCATCCCCTCGATACCTCCTAGCCATTGCTGAGCGAAGTATTGACCCAGTTTCTGATGGTGGTTTCGATGGCCAAAGTGGGAAGTGCTTTGATTGGTTGCAGATCGAGGAATGCCTGGTCTAAGCCAGCTGTTGCCAAATGGACAGATGTCTCATTATCATTGCAGACACGCAAACTCCTTCCCCTCCACCTATTTTCAAGCCAATAATCCATGGCTTTGAGGGAGGATTCCAATTACCTCAGCTTGGAAGACCGAAGCTTATTCCCCAAGAGAAAATTGAAGCTTATCCCCATTAACTTCGAAATAGACCCCAGATCCTTACCCAGAGTCAATTTTGGACCCATCAGTGAAGATTCGAGTCAGCATTCAGCCTCAGGGATTCAACATTATATAATGTCTATAAATGTAATGGTGTCGTACTATCCTGTAGCATTGAAAATACACAAGTGCTAAAATCTCTGCCGCCAGCAATTTCCGCCTCGCCCCACTCAGTTTTATACCAACATCCGTTTCTTTTCAGTGAAGCAGTGTGTCAAGAGCACTGTACTCCACTCAAAAAATTAAAGTTAAATAAACAGGCTTTCAAGCAACCAGTTTGGTTACTATCAAAACCAGATAAATTTTCGTGGACCCCCATATTTTTTCACGTCAACGTAAACCTCCCTCGAGTCTCCCGTGAACCCTTGGACCACTTTGGGAATCACTGTCTTTAAGTGATGCTACACACACACACACACACACACACGGGTTTTTCTTGGTACGACAGTGATTCTTGTTGATTTTATATTTAAAATAGCATCGCTGGTTTAGTATAAATTTTAGAGCTGGTCGGCTTAGACTTTAATCAATCGAATTATTCGCTAATGTTACGAGCTTGAAAATAATGAAAAAAATGGAAATTAAAAAAACGTTAGTTGCACTTATATTAATATTTGTATTAAATATTGTCCAAATCGCTGTCGGCGATGGAATGGTGGAAGTTTTTGGTTGGAAGCAAATGGATTTTTATAACCGTGGCGAGCAACTTCTATATGGGAGTGGAAATAGAGATGGTGGACATAAGAGTCGCCCGCTCCGTAAGTAAATTAATTTCAAATTATCGATATACCTATGTACATATCGCACACCAAGATCTAAAGTGCGATCAACTAAAAAAAAACGATTTTTTTTTAAAAACGTGAAAAACTGATTATCTTATCTCTGTGTACTGCAGGAGTTTTCCGTCTTAATCAATGCTTTTCAAATGTACACAGAAGACATACGTTTTAGGGATCTTGCGTTGTAATCGTATATATATTGGGGTTTAAATTTTGATTTTTTAAGGTATTTCTCTTTTGTTTGACAAATGTATTTACATATATGTATTTGTGAGTTGTACCCCTTTTGGTGAATTTTTAGTAGAATTTCTTTTAATGAGTCAATGCCAGGCGAATTTTAAAAATTTTGTTTGAATTTCCACACACATTCTTACATATTTTGACAGTTTATGCCGCCAAAGCAAAAACAAAATACATGTAAGTTTTTGTTTTTGTACTCCTGCTATCACCTTATATAAATTCGCCTTGAGTCAATGTAAATTTGTACTGAGTTAACACTAAGAAAACACCAGTACACAACATAAAAAATACACATATTTATTTTTAGTAATATAGCATACTTGTATATATATGGAATATATGTATGTATTAAAAAAAATAAAAGTAATGACAGTCTTCTTATGTCCTCCTCCTTTGTAGGTGCACTTGTCGTTAGCTGAGTTAAGTGACATTTTGACCAGTTTTCGATTTTTTCTTTTGTTTATTTAATGTTTATAATCTTTTTACAAAACTCTAACATATGGCATAACCAGCACCAAATAAATCCACATTCCCAACTTCGTACAAAAATTATAAACATTTAAATTTTTTTTTTTGCTGACGGTGCTTGGCATTTTTTTCCATGTAAAGTATGCTCGATATTTATTTTTGCCTAGTCCCTTCAGCAAAGAAATTTAAAAAAAGTCATCGCGATTTTCTAGTCTTGAAATTTGCACTCTGACCTAATAAAATTTAACGGGCAATAAAACTGCGTAAATTTTTCTAAAAATTCTGAATAAAAGGTTTGAAATTTTTGGGTGTAATTGTGATCGAAGTTTGAAATGTGGATTTATTGGGTGGTGTTTAACCCCGGAAGTGCTTCGCTCTTTTGACCCTGTTTGCGGGCTTGTTGGTCGAAACGACTAACACCAACTTTGAATTTAAATATGTAACAAACATGAAGCAGTTAAAAAGGAAAATACATTTTATGATTTTTAGTTCTTTGTAGTTTTTAAAACACATTAACAAAATATTAAACACACATTCTTTTCTCTGTTACATATAATAAACAAAAAGGTAAATGACTTCAGAGAGAGGTACGAAGCGAAACGCGATTTTTGTTAGTCGAAACGACAGCGAAGCATGTCCTTTTATAAAAAAAATTATAAACATTAAATAAATAAAAGAAAAATAGTCAAAACTGGTCAAAATATCACTTAATTGAATCAGCTGACCACAAGTGCACTTAATACAAAATAGTATTACAAAATAACTCAATGTAAAAAAATATGTGAAAAAAAATTAAGTGAACATCCCAAATCACATAATAGGTAATTTTAAATAAGTGTAATTTGCCAAACCCGCTGCAAAATTATAAACGCACCCCATATTGACAAGTTTTAATAACTTATTTGTTTGTTATTTAATTTTATAGATATATTTTTTAATAAAAATATAGTTTAGCCGTATAAATCGAACTTTCAAACTTTGTGCAATATTTAAAAAATAAGTCTTCTTAAAAATGTAAAGTATTTTAATTAGATTTCAATTTTAGTATGATAAAGTGCAAATTTGAAGTAGCTAGGATTTATAGTGGATTTTTGGCAATTTTTTGTTTAAGCTACTATTTCTAGTTTTCCTCTGTACCTACTTATGCAATGATCAAGTAACAATGTTAACATACACACACATACTAATATTTCCCTTACTTATTTGTAAGTTATTGATATGCAATCACTCGACGACGGCGATTGGGATTAACCAAGGTTTTGTGCGGTCAAGAAGCACAAAATATTCATATTCAATATATGTACATACATTAGACTGCATCAAAAATCTCATTATTACGTTTTCGTTCACAATTTTTTTAAATTTTTTAAAAATATTTTTTATGCAAATTTTTTAAGCTTAAGTCGTTTTGTCATTCGAGGGATTTAAAAAGGAACAGTCCAGCGCCTTCGTCTTGGTCTGCAGGCTGTATCGGAGATACAGCCGCTAAATTTAAACGTAGAATACGTCGTATGGTTAAGAGCATATCCAAGTCAAAAACGAAAGCACACACTAAGAAAAAAATATCGATAACAAAAGCGATAGTAATATCGATAAAAAATCGATATCAATATCGATATCAAAATCGATAATAATATCGATAACAAAATCGGTAGCAAACTCGATAACAAAATCGATAAAAATATTGATAACAAAATTAATAAAAATATCGATTACAAGATCTATCATAAAATGGATTACAAAATCGATTACAAAGTCGATAACAAAATCGACAAGTATATCGACATCAAAAGTGATAACAACATCGATAGCAAAATCGATAAAAATATCGATAGTAAAACTGATAAAAATATCGATAACAAAAGCGATAACAATATCGATAGCAAAATCGATTAAAAATATCGGTAACAAAACCAATAAAAGTATTGATGACAAAATCGATGAAAATATCGACAACAAAATCGATAGCAAAATCGATAACAAAATCGATAAAAATATCGTTAAATAATCGATAATAAAATCGATAACAACGTGGATAACAATATCCATAACAAAATCAATCAAAATATCGATAACAAAATCGATAAAAATATCGACCATTAAATCGATAAGTTCCGAAAATATCGATAGCAAAATCAATAACAGTATCGATATCAATTTCGATAACAAAATCGATAAAAATATCGATCACAAAACCCACAAAATATCAGTTATTATATCTATAAGTCCCAAGAATCCCGAAAATCGCTAAAATCCCGAAATAGTTCCCAGATTGAGTCTCTGTGCCTCTATCTATATCCTTTTCTCTACAACTACCTTTATTTTAATCTTCCTTCCTCTATCTTCATTTATACTTTATCGGTATCCTCATCCTCATCTTTTTCTTTATATGTATTTATCTTTGTTTTTATTTTTATGTTTATCATATTTTTTATATACATATTCCCCTTCACCTTTGCCCTTATATATAAAAGTAAAGTGTTTAAATTTCCTTTGTTCTTAATTTTTGGCTTTATCTTTGCGGAACTTTGTTTTTGTTTTTATTTTTACCTTTGCCTTTATCCTTTTCTTTATCAATGTACGTACTCACCTTTACTTTTATTCTTCGATTGGTCTTTTTCTAAGTGTTGCTTCACTTCAAAAAGTTTTCGTGTATATATATTAGTATAAAAAATAGAAACAGATCCACATTAACTGCAATCAACATATGTACATACGCTGTGATTAGGTTATAAATATTGCTCCATTTGTTAATCAAAAGCCGAAATATGTACTTACGCACACATACATACTTTTTGTCTCCTTCCCACACTTCCAACATATGCACGTGTTTGCAAAATGATGACGAGGTGATTTTGTATGGAAAATCATTTATGCCCATATATTTGAATAAAATAAACATATATAGAAGATATCAACCAATACTTCCCATATACCAAACGAAAGGAAAACTCTTGAATTTTTGATTAAAGAAAACAAAAACAAAATCATTCGAGCGGTTTTCGAGCATTTTGGTAATGAAAAAAATTTGCAAATTTATTCAACAATTTTTTGCCTTAAAATGCTCAATATTTGTAAAATTTATATAAAATTTGTACCCGATAATATTTCTACTGCTCCAAAGAACCTATATCCCGAAAATGAAAGTTATATATGCCAACAATAAGTTGCTAGAGCACTTTAAAGGCTCAAAATTGACCCCAAAATAAGGCAATGTTTACCGTTGTTTTTACGACAGAAACCGAATTGGTTATTTACAAAAATGAATCTGTCGACAGGTTTGGGATTTTATCTTTGAAACGCCACACTTTTCTTTGAAATCGCTTTATTAGTTCTCGTGCAATAAGCGTTTTTGTGAAGCTCTAAAAATTACAACTACAACATTTGAACATAGCCCCCATACCTTAAGGTAAGACGTATTCTACGTCAAAAAAAAAATCTTTGAGAAACTATTTGTATTCATAAAAACTAAATTTTGGAGGTATTTTCAAATTGGTCCAGCTCACGTAAATCTTAATATATTTCCGAAATATTTTGGTGGACGTCGTAAAATATAATAGATTTTATAATTCCAATGGAAAAACAGTACCGATTTTTTTGTATGGGGAGTGATGCAGTCTAATGTACATATGTATATAAATATGTTTGTATGTATGAGATTTAAACTGTTTGGTTTAGCTATTGCGTGAACTAATGAGAGTGTGAGAAATAGGTATTTAAACTTTATTAAAAACAATACAGTTTTTTTACAATATGAAAAGCTTTATGCATAGGCAAACCTACATACATACTTGCTTGGTTGATGCCACGAGTACATTTAGTCGCCTTGAACAATCGCAAAACGCTTATAATTTCTCTAGCGTTAAAAAAAGGCAAAATGTTTTAATCGATTTTCCCGCCATTCTGGAAAAGCACCTTAATTTCGTTCCAACCATCAAAAACTAAAATATTTGACATACTTTTCAACTTTCCGAAAACCATCCCAGCAACTGCAATTGCCAGTTGCCATCTGCAATATTGTTTCGGCAACTAGCAAAGCAACTGAAGTTCGGTTGCCATCGACAATCGACCCATTGGACTTACATATATGGTTTTTGTCAGAATGTCGTGCCCCTATTATTTTTCTTATGACTGTACATACATTTGTATGCTAGTAGGTTAACCAAATGTCCCTCTCATCGATAAGGCGCAATGCGAGCTATGCGGGACCGACATAAGGGCCAGAGAGGGAAGTGATGCGTATTTTCCGGAATAAAAAGCGAGATGTCGAAATGTGTGAGTTTGAAGAGCTTAAAATGTTGTCCGACAAGAAAATTTTACCAGGAAGTTAGGCGGCTTACGAAAGGTTTCAAGACCAAGGGAAATTCCTATAAGAACCGATGTCCAGAAGGTGCTTAAATTAAGAAGGCAACACTTTTCCATCCTATTGAGCAGTGAAGATGAACCCGAGCTCTCAGTTGAAGACGATGGAATTGTTGCATCCGACCTTGAGTATGTACGAATAGACATTTCTTGTGGATCTGACGGTCTACCAGCTGAGCTATTCAAGCGCGGCGGTGATAAGTTGAGCCCTGGAACATCCACCACAGAACAAGTATTCACCGTACTCAACATGTTGGTACAGATCCGTGAGAATAGGATCGACACACACCACCCATTTTTCGATTTCAAAATCGCTTTCGACAGCACTAAAAGAAGTTGCCTTTATGCGAGGTTTCGGACAGAGCGACTACATTTCGTGCTATTTCTTTAATCTGATGTTGGAGATGATAATAAAAGCCACCGAACTTAACCGTTCATGCACAATTTTTCGCAAAAGCATATACATAATTGCTGGCGTTAGCCGACGACATCGACATTATCGGTGAAAACAATGCTACGTGAATGAGGACAAAACAAAGTATCTCCTTTCATCAGACAAACAGTCAGCGCATAGGTCCGTCGAAAAGTACAGGGTGTCCTAGGTCGAGTTACCGACTTCCGGGCTGGAACCTTCACATACGATAACGCATTACTCGTCACGTAAAAACAAATTTTTCGGATTATGACAAACGTGAACGTACTCTTTATCCCATTCCACTAACGCCTGACATATCACGTAATTTTCTTTCTTATGGTTTGCGATCCGTGAACGGATGCTACCATTCGAGCCCGGGGTTGAACTGGAATTCCATTCCGGAAATCCGTTTCGGAAAACGGTTCCGACAAAAGTTTCGGTCGAAACTGGATGTCGGTAATACGACGAAAGCATCCTTGACTTGATAATTCGTACTTTTCGTTTTCCAATAACAACATCTTTGTCCATTTTAGAAGTTTAGGACGAGTTGTGGTTCAACGATTAGTTAGAAGTTAAAAAAGGCACTTCCCAGAAAAACTCACACCCCTATTGCGAGTGTCGACTAGTAGTAGATAAACGACTCTTATTCGAGTATCGATTTTCCATGGTACTGTGCATGTCGATTTCTCATTCAAAAAGCGGCTGTTAATAGTTTTTTAACGATCATTTTTCTACAACTGTTTGTTTGTAGAAGGATAAGCGACTATTAACTATTCACACGCACTTATTGAACGAGAAAACGACTTTGAAAATGCCACGGACTAACAGTCGTTTCTCTACCACAAGTCAACACTCGCAATAGGGGTGTCAAACAAAGGTTACGTACATATTTTTATCCGGAGAATCAGAATCTGTAGCAAAACCATGTATATAAATGGATTTCCAGTCAGTTTAACCCGCTTCCGGTCGAAAACGGATGTCGGTAATACGGCCAAAAGATAGAACATCCTCGACTTGGTAGTTCATAATTTAACGTTTTCCAATAAAAAACATTTTCCTACATTTTAGAAGGGGTGGACGGTTGGTCTAGCACACCACACTTGTATTATTTTTCGAGGGTAAGAAACTGACTAAAAACTTCAAAGCCGTTTTTTTAATTGTATTTTGTCAGTTATGACATTACTAAAATGAAGTAACATGTTCTTACAAATAAGACTATGAAGGTTACTTAAATTTTTGATGTTAGTATATCTAAGTCCACTATCATTTTCTAGTTAAAGTTTTAACCAATATTCTTTTACAGCTGGCACGATTGTCTTTCCTGATCGGCTGCGCAGCTTGGCTAATCTTGAACAGAGAGACAAACGTGCTGCCGATGAGCGAATAACTTCGCGCGATGAAACGAATATAGTTTTTGAGCCTCGTATCAACGATGTGCAGGCGAATGCTTCCTACATTCCATACAACAATGTACCGATGGGTGCAACCCATCATAACGGTCGTTTGTTTGTGACAATGCCACGACGACGCATCGGCATACCGTCCACCCTCAATTACATTGATTTACAGAAGGACGGCACACAACATAGTCCCAAATTGCATGCATATCCCGATTTTGAAACGAACTATTTGAATGTGAGTCTGATACTTGTAACTGTATTACATTCGTCACCTGAAAAGTAAAAAAAGCCGTATCAAAGAACATTTTTTTTTTGTGCATAGAACAACATTTTTTTTTTTGCATCATGATTCATCAATCGGAAAATGTTCATTTTTTGGTTTGTTACGGCCTTTGCATTTCAGCTCACGATATGTAAGTATATTTTTGCATACTAGTGCTATACACTGAATTCGTTTACCGTTAGCCGAACTTCGAACCAAATTCAAATCGCATCATTTCGGTATATCGCACATCGGTGGACGCTTGCCAGCGCCTATGGTTTATCGATACCGGCATGCTTGAATATCCCAGTGAGTTCGTTTATTTATTTTTTATATACTCGTAGTTTTTCTAACTTTCATAGGCAAATGCATTTACTATTTTTATGTCCTATAGATAATCGCATGCAGGTACAGAGGCCAGCAATTTGGGTGGTTGATTTGACGAATGATCGTGTTTTACACCGCTTCGAAATTCCCGCAAACGTCGTGGATACCGGACGGGGTCTTGCAAGCATTACGGTGGATGTTAATGAGCGTCGTTGCAATGATGCTTTCGCTTATATACCCGATTTAGTAAATCGACAGTTATTCGTTTTTAGGTAATAAGACTTGCAAAATGTTGTACACATATTGGCAATGTTATTAATTAAGAGCTGCTATATTTTCAGCCTTAAAGAGAACCGCATTTGGAGCTTTAGTCACAACTATTTCAATTTTGAGCCACTAGCTGGCGATCTGCAAATCGGTGGCCAAACCTTCCGTTGGGATGATGGCATCTTCTCCATCACACTTGGTCCATATGGCCCTGACGGTTATCGGCCCGTTTACTTCCATCCCATGGCCAGTAATACAGAATTTGTCGTCGATAGCAGTGTGCTACAGAATGAAGCGAATGCAGCGCGCAGCGATCACGGCAATGATTTCCGGCCATTGGGCAGGCGCGGCGTCAACCGACAATCCACAATGCATCAATATGACCCGCGCACGGGCATTATATTCTATGCGGAAATACAACGGAACGGTATTGGTTGCTGGAATACAAATAAATCATTTTCACCACAAAATCATGGCACAGTCGCAAAGGATGCGCAACGCATGATATACCCCAGTGACTTGACGGTGCGTTGAACATGTGTAGAGTTGAGTTGCGTGAGTTAAACGCTTTTTTTTTTAAATATTGTAATCTCGTTCGCAGATTGACGAAGATGGAAATATCTGGGTGATGACCAATTCTATGCCAATATTCATTTATTCTACGTTGGATACAAATGTAGTGAATTTCCGAGTGTGGAAGCAAAATGTTTTTGAAGCTGCAAGGAATACAATTTGTGCACCTTAGGGGCCAGTAACAGCGAACTTTATTAACACATTCACGAAATTGTCGAGAAATATTTTACCTATGATGAAAATGCAAAATTTTCACTTCCGCTGCCAAAGTAGGTAAAATTTTGTGGTCGGTAAATTTCGAAAACTACCTTGTTGTGTAATAGAAAACTATAATAAGCATACATATTCGTTGTTTTAAAATTCTTGCAGACTTTCACCATTGATACAAATAAATAGTAAGCCTGTTCCAGGTACGACACCTTATTACGTAAGGGTTATTAAAGATGAAAATAGCCTTTCCTGTAAATCCTGTCCTGCAAATCCTTGAACAGGCAAGCAAATACATTTTAGTTACTTTCCCATTATTACCAGCTGCGAATGTGTTAAATTAGATAGCTTGTTGATGAACGAATTTTTTTCCAACTTTCCAAAACCTATGTATACGAATATTTGTATTAAAGGACAAGTAAATATAAGTTTTGTTTAATATTTCTAGAATTGAGTATATTTTTTATTGCGATTCAAACAAAATAACATACACAAAATGTGTAAAAAAAAGTTAAGTGATTATGATAATTTTAAGAGATTACATGTACAAAAAAGAATTATCACGTTTTCCATATGCGATTAACTAAAACTACAGGCACTATAATATTGCATGACAATTTTAGATTTTTTTAATGGGTATTCAAATTCTAAATTACTTTAAAAGACTTAAGTATGTTTTCTTAACCAATATACTATATGTATGTACATAAAGTAAATGAAAATAACGAATAGTCTTCTGCATGTGATGTTTTTGCTGCCTTAAATGCCTCTTTTATGTATCGGAATGTATGTACATACATTTAAGTATGCCTATACTTTTTTTTCATTTAATCATAGTTAAGTGTTTCAAAAATTTCTTATACATAAATTCAGATCTAGTTAGTATGCATTTGATTTTTAAGAGATTATGAAGTTACAAAAATACCTATGTATAAGTGTACGTATGCATGTAGTTATAGTAGATATATGAACTTTTCCCACTATCACTTTTTATATCTAGTTAATGGCTAAACTGACTCGCCTCAATAATTTGCATAAAATTGTCGTGTAAATGGAATGTTTATTCTTATAAATGTGTGTGTGTGTGTGGTTATTATTTTTTCAACTTTCACTTATGATAATGAACGGCATACAATTCCAGTATATGATTGCTTCACTATATTTCTGCAAACCGACTTTTCTTTTCTTACTCTAGTTACTTTTGAAGTTAAATGAGGGTACCTATGGTGTTGAATATACTAATAAATATGTATATTAAACTTTGAATACTTACTTATGTATGTGTGTATGTGCAGGAAAAATATTTAAGTCCAAATAGTAAATTTTTTCGCGTTCAAAATGTTTACAACCGACTTTTGTAGCAAACAAAATGGTTTTGTTATTTTTTCTTAACTTTGAATTTCCTAAATTTTTTTTTGCTAAATATTCTAACTTTTTTTGGTTAATGGAATGTTTTGAGCGAATCTGGTGTGCTGCCTATATTCACGATGCTGTATTACCTTATTGTACCAGATAGTCCTTGTAGCCACGTAACGATTTTAATTGCTTTTTCAATTTTGTTATTAAGTCAGAAGGTTGCACCAGTATGGAAATATCACGACCCACCGAGTTAAGGCGATCACGTATCTCATTTTCTTTGAAGTACAAATTCAAAGGACGTCCATTGATTTCCGTAAGTACCCAAAATGTAAGTGTTGTACCATCACAAGATTGTGCCTAGAAAATATGTAAAATATACAGTTATGGACAATAAAATCAAATCATACTAATACTAGTAATACTAAGCAAATATGTAGCTTTGATGAGCAGTTTCTTCATGGCAGAAATATGTCGTACATATATGCGCTAGGTTTGCCGTTACATGCCGAAGGGCTTCCGCTATTATATTTTTTCTTAAAATAATTATTAGACGATAGCAAAAAATGCACGTTTAATAGACGAACTTTAAAAAGCAACCGTTTTTAATAAGAAACACATTTTGTTTAGAGAACCTATAAAAAACAACAAGCAGTCCTGCTCAGCTATCGGAAAGCTACAACTGCAAAATATGCTCCGACGCAGGCGATTCACAAATGGTTTGCTGCGATGATTGTGACCAATGGTTTCATTCTCATTGCGTTGACGTCACTGCTTCCATTGAGAACGTGGACTGGCACTGTGCAGACTGCTCGGTCTCCTCATTCGGTAGGATAGGAGCTGGAATAAGCAAAGGTGCCTCCAGCAATGCTTGCGACCCAAAGCCGAATAACGAGTTAGAACGCACAGCTAACTCTGTAGCCAAGCAGGGAGCTACTTGCATGCATCATGCGGGTACTACCACAGCAAATCGGCACATCAGCTCTCGACTTGTAAGCGATAAGTCGGCTAGAGCTCGACGACGCCGTACTGAAGCAGAACTAATCGTCAAAAGGAGGAGCTACTTAATAGGCGCAAGAAGCTCCTGTATGAAGTGGAGACTGAGGACGAATGTTCTAATTTGCAAGAACTGGACGCGGTGCAAAAATGGCTTGATGCAACCGGGCCTACCTTGCCCCCTATGATGTCAACGAAAGCATCGCCTGAGTGTCATCCGACCGCAACCGACGTACGTACCGGGCCTTCCACTGTCCCTTCACAGCCATAAGAGGTGTTTGAAGATAACCACATTCAACGTCAAATGAGTTCGATGCTACATAAACTCTCCATACTTGAGAAGCTGTACAAAATCAAACTGCTCCAACAACCAACGCAACGTAACTCCCAAAGTTACTACCCGACTACACGCAAGGACTCAAACAAAGGGAGAACATCCTTCGACGCAACCACAGGATCATTGCTGCCTTACCAAGCCCCTGAAGAACGGCCCCTTTTTTGGCCACCTACCAACACAACAACGGAAATGTGCGAATTTTCTGATGGAGAAAACCGACTGCACTGCGCCAGGGCCTGGAAGGAGCAGCACGGAATGCGGCAAGGAATCTGCTGCTGCATTATTCCTGTTTACCGCATATATTCGAGACACTTAAAATGAAATTTGGTCGCCCATAACTTATCGTTGCGGTGCTTCTGATCCGCATACGTGAAATACGAGCCGTGAAAGAAAACAGACTCCATCTCGCCTTGGAGGTACAAAATGTTTGCGCAACGATGCCACCTGAACAATCCAGAGGTGGAGCTCGAGAAATGTACCGAATTTATGAGTTCTATATATCGTCGCTGCCTAAAGGTGCATCATCGCTTTCAGTGCGCATCTACTGCCGTGTGCGGTACAGATGGTTACGCCTTAATCCACCATATCCTCTCCTTCATAATCAACGCGCTGAGACGGTTATCTCACCAATTGCTAACTCTGGGTACAACGCTCATAGCTGTGCGGTGGAATCAATCCTATTTCGGGTGGTGCCTGCAACGCTTTACAGTAACAATAAAAAGCTTAACACATATTCCTTCTTCGATGATGGTTCTTCGCGCACGCTTATGGATGCTGAGCTACAAGAAAAAGTACAATTGAAGGGCACCTCGCAACCTTTATGCCTGAAATGGACAGCCTATACGCACCGGTATGAAGATGACTCCCAAGTCTTGGAGTTAGAAATCTCTGGAGCCAATGCTAGAAGACGTTTCGTGTTGAAAGATGTACATACCGTGAAAGCTATTGAACTATAAATATGCAGAATAAATATGCATATGGTTGGACCTAAGTCTACGATCCCCTGACGGAAAGGATAACGAACCTGTAGCTGAAAATACACGTTTGGGGTGGACTCTGAAAGGAATTACCGGTAAGCAACAAAGAGCTTCAGGGTATCACGCATTTCATGCTTGCGACTGTGATACTGCCGTCAATGCTGAGTTGCTGCAGATTGTCTAGGAATATGTATACTTAGACAACATAGAAGTCAACCGAAAGTCCACCAGCCTGATATACAAAGATGACGAGCATGCAAATGAGCAACTGAGATCAACTACTAAATGCGTGGATGGCCGCTTTGAAACCGGACTTATTTGGAAACGCACCAGCGCTACGCTGCCGGATAGCCTACCACTTGCTTTATGGAGAGCTCAATGTCTGCAGTCCAAACTTCAAGCACGAACCTGAACTCGCCGCGGATTTGGCGACCAAAATTGCCAATTATGTGGCCGAAGGGTACACAAAACCCCTAGCAGCTGAGGCGGTGTTGGAATAGGGGCGTTGGTACTTGCTAATATTTCTGGTGCGCAATCCGAACAAACCGCAAAAGGTTCGAATTATTTGGTACGCCGCTGCTGAAACAAAAGGCGTGTCTCTTATCTCTATGCTCCTAAAAGGACCAGACCAACTTCCGCAGGTCAGGATAAGGTCACAGGACCAGGATTATCAGCATTTTGTCTGGTATAAGCCGGGAGCTGTTAAACCCGTTTTTTTTTTGCGTTGACTGTGATGACTTTCGGGGCGACCTGCTCATCCAGTAGTTCTCAGTATGTAAAAAACCTTAACGCGGAACAATTAGAAATTACAAATAGCTATCCGAGAGCCGTTGAGTGTATTGTCGATAACTATTACGTTGATGATATGCCTGACAGCGTAGACACAGTGGAGGAGACCACTCGACTCAACAGTGCCGTCAGTTTCATTCACAGCCAGGGTGGCCTTCACATTAGTAACTGGCGTTCGAACTCCGAAACTGTGTTGCGCGCTCTGAAGGTCAACAATATAAACTGCGAGGTAAGCTTGAGTTCTGATCAACCCATAACTGCTGAACCGATTCCCGCACTGTTTTGGCGTGGATCCGCTGTGATCATAGACGCTATTCCCAGTTCGTCGCATTCAGAGTTAGCGAGGTATTGGAGTTATCGGACTCAAAGGACTGCCGATGGATTACTTCAGCTGGCAACGTTGCCGATGACGCTACAAAATGGCATACTTTACTTGACATATCTAATCAAAGCTGATGATTTCGAGGAGGGCAGTTCTTGCAACGTTAACGTATGTATTGGCCGAACGACACAGATGGCCCTCAGACCACCAACGAAGAGCTTAGAGCCAGGTACGTAGGGCACCACGGTACCGCAGAGCCACATCAGGGTTTTTTGTCAATACACGAACGCTTTTCGCGATGGTCGCGGCTTTTGCGGATAATAGCCACGGTGTTAACAAGTGCCCGGGTCTGGAGCACTGTTTTAGTCCACCGCTTCGTCAACGAGTCGAAAAAGATGATCTTAAACGCGCCGAAAGAATGGTGTGGAGAGAAGCCTAG